TGCTCTAGAATTTGTTTAGAGCCATTTTTGACAGATATTTGGAGGGGTTTGGGGGAGAGCTCAAGGCACTGCTTTTACTCCACCATCTTGGCTCTGCCCATATTCATCATTTCTTACAGCACAGCAATATTCTACATTCATTCACTACCACACATTGTTTAGCCATTCCCCAATCAATGCACCTCTGCTTTGTTGCCAGTTCTTTTTGCTACTCCAAAATGTGCTACTCAATATATTTTGGTGTGTGTAGGGCCTTTTTTTTTTGGTCATTGACCTTTTTTGGATATATGTCTAGCAACAACTGAAGGTTTCTATTATTGCCTAGTGAATTAAGATTAAATCCTGGTTACAGCATTTAAAATCTTTCACAGACTTGCTCCAGCCTACCTCTCTAGCCTTTTCTAGCCATACTAAGCTAATCTCTATTCCCCTTTCTTTTCTTATCCTCTCCTGTGCCCGTATCTTTGATAACACTAGCCCTTTACCTAGAATAGCCTATTTTTCTCCTCACTTCCTAATCTTCTCCTATATCTGTTCTCCAAACTTTCCTTTCAATAATTTCCTCAAGTTCCAACTTAGGTGCCACTTCCTGCCTGACAGTTCCTACCCTCCAGATGAACATGATCTTTCCCTCCCCCAAAGATTTCTCATAGAACTTTGTCTGAACCCATCCTTTGTTATTTCTCACCCTTGCATTTTTCCACTGTCAAATTTCTGGGTCCTTCAGCTTGAAATTTTTATATTCCCAGGGCAAGAAGGGCACCTAGGTTCACCATCTTACTGTCATCTTTTGATGCCTCACTCTCACTCCACATTCAGTTAGTTGCCAGATTTTGTCACTTCTGTCAACACAACCACTACTCTACTTCTCTTCCTCATCGCTGTTTATCTGTACTATTGAAATAGCTTCCTATTTAGTCTCTATACCCCCAGTTTTTCCCCATTCCAGTCCATCTTTGAGGTAGTTTGCAAAAGTGATATGGGTGTGACTGTGTCCCACTACTACTCAGTAAAATCCTGTGGCTCTCAGCTACTTTTAGAATCATATATAAACTCTTTTGATTGGCATTTGAAGCTCTTCCCAGTGGAGAAAGAGAAAATAGAGAGTTCTTAAGTAGAACTCCTTTTTTAAAATTTTTTTATTTGGTATTTTATTTTTTCCCCAGTTATATTAAGTAAAACTCTTTAAATGGAGGTTATTTGCTTGAAATATGAAAAATATTGACTTGATTTTGTCTGAAGCTAAACCAGTGTGAGTGAGGATGTAAATTTTTGAAGATAATATTTTATTTTTGAGTGGGGATTATTTGAGAGATACTTTTAAAAAGATTTTCCTTCAAATGTTAACTGTGCCTGCAAAAAGTTATCTTTTTTTTTTCCTTCTCACTCCAGCTCCCATTTTCCTATCTGTTGAATCACTTTCCTTCACTGTGTCTCAGTTTCCTTATCTGTAGGTGAGAATAGATAAACTGTACAAATCCTTCAAGTTCCAAGATCCTAACTAAGATTATAAGAACAATTCATTTGAACTTGCAGCCTCAACAAATAGGCACAGGAAAAGCACTTACCAATAGATCTAACAATTCACTTGAACACTAAAAAGGAATTAACAAATTGAAACTTTTGGCCATAGCTCCACCTTGAGCTTCATTCATACTTATGTTCTACCTTTAGGCATCTGACTTTGGAAATACTTATTTTACGAGGATCACCAGACTGTGTCTAGTTCTAAGAACTTTACATGGCACCCGTGAAGATCTAGGCTGAAAACTAAAGAAGGTTATAAGTAGGAAAGAAATATTATAAAAGCATATTGTTTCTTTCTTATGCTTTCTTCTCTTTTAAGAATATCCCTGTAAATCACAGTCATCAAGGTTGCAAAATTTCTGAAAGAAAAGTTCAAATATTCTTTGCAGAAGAAAATTGAATAGCACATTTTAATTGCTTTCAAAATTACAGAATAAATTTTAATAAATATAATTGGAGACATTCCAGCAAAGTAAAATGCATCTAAATGCCAGAGTTTAAGGAAACTTGGCAGACAGGTAGACCTAAATGAGACAAAATGAAAACTCACCTTTTACTTTCTATTAGGTTTTAGATTTCATGAGAATTTGGACTTGTAGGGAAAAACTTGTTTTGGTAGAGAATTTCTCTTAGCTGTGTGATGTAGGACACATATGCCTAAAATTGTAGTATATTAGAGTCCTGAGAAGACTTCATTGATTTAAATTCACAGAATTTCTCTACATTTTACATGCCTTTAATTCAAATCTCAATTCTACTATATAGAACATGAATTTATTAGTGCATGTAGAAATAAATAAGTGAACTTCTGAGAGATTGCAGAAGAGAAACTTGAAACTGTCAGATACTAGTCCTGTTACTTTCAGATAGAACATTAACCTTCTATATGATTTACCTTTTCTCATATTAGTTCCTCATTAAGGGATCACCTCTGTTTCTCCCACAATTGTAAATAACAAATAACAGGCTTCAAGATTGTTTTACATTTTTTTTTTTTTGCTTCTTTTTTTGGTGAGGCAATCAGGGTTAAGTGACTTGCCCAGTTTCACATAGCTAATGTCAAGTATCTGAGGTCAAATTTGAACGCAGGTCCTCCTGACTCCAAGGCTGGAGCTCTATCCACTGGGCCACCTAGCTGCCCCCTCAAGATTGTTTTAAATGACCCTGAAGGGAAGCAGAAGTGTATCATTGATATCTAGTCACTTAACCTCTAATTAGAAAATAGAAATAACATCCACCCAGAAAACTAGTGATTTTTAAGGTATAAATTAGATAATATCAATTAAAATTTCCTCACCCCTGTGGTATAGTAGAAAAAGCCCCCAGTTTGGAGTAAACGGATCTAGGTTTGACTCCCTGCCCTTCATTAACTGTGTGGCCTGTACCAAGGCCCTTACCTCCTCTGAGCCCCAGTGTTGTCATCTATAAAATGGGATTAATAATGCATTCATTTTCCACTGCATAAAGTTGTGATGATCAGGTAAGATAATGTTCTTTGTAATGCATAAAGCACTATGTATTAATATAATAAAATATTTGCAAATGTGAATGCCTGTGAATAGGTTTTTAGATAACGAAAGGGAATATAGGTAGAAGCAGATTTATTATACAGGTAAAAATATTGCAAGTTCTCAGGTTAAACATGAAGCTGATTTTTGGCATCTGTCAAGTGTCTGAAGTTTTTTCAAGCGTTTGTTTTATTTTAAAAGTAGAAACAAATATTAGTAAACTGTTTTGAAGTGTTGTGATTGCCATTTCCTGGGGGGGAACGGCTTGGTTTAATTATGGTTAATAATATAAATGTTTTTGACATGGGAATGTGATATTTAAATATGAGAAAAGGTAATGCAACATCCTGTTTAACCTTGTTCATTTAACCTTACTGCATTTTATTTTAGGAGAATGACATCTTCCTGGGCTGGGAAAAAGGAGCTTACAAGAAATGGGGAAAGAGTAAGAAGAAGTGCTCAGATCTAACTCTAGAAGAAATGAAAAAACAGGCTGCTGTCCAGTGTCTTCGCTCTGCTTCAGATGAAGTAAGTCTAGAATTTTAGAGTGCTTTTTAAGAACATCATGTTTACTCATGTTTCATGGCCACATTTGAATTTGAGAGATATTATAAGATTATTATATTAGTAAGTAATCAAGACTTCTTGTGTTTCATTTCAAAAGGAATTTCTACAGCCCTTCAACATCACAAAACAATGAATTGATTTTTGGAAACCAGTTGCCTATTTTGTTAAATACACATTTGTGTAAGATAGGAAGTCAAACAAGTTTGTATCTGTTCTTAAAAAAACAGCATATGACTAGATAGTAGTTCATGTTAACTGAAGTTTGTTGATTGTAAGTTCAACATAAATCAATAAAATGCACCTACAAAAGCTTATTCTATCTTAAGGTGCCTTAATATCTGTAGAGCATGTAGAATTATGGAGGTGATAGTTCTAGTCTACACTGAGCTGGTCAGCTCACATCTGGAATATTTGGAGCTTGAGCCTTTCCAAAGAAGGTAACCCTGAGACATAGGTGCTATTATTATCCCTGTTTTGTCACTGGGGAAACTGAAGCAAATGACTCACCCAGGGTCACACAACTAGTAAGTGTCTGAGACTGGTTTTGAACTCAGGTCTTCTTCACTCCAGGTCCAGCACTCTTATCTCCTTCACCACCTAACTACGTATATCTATTGAAAGAATTATATATGTTTAGCTTGGATAAGAGACTTGGAGACATGATCCAAATATTTAAAGACCTATTAAGTGGAAAAGCAATTTAGTTTTTTCTGCTGGGCTCCAAAAGGGCAAAATTATAAGCAATGAATGGAAATTATAGGAAGGCAAATTTCCTTCAACTTAAGGAAGAACTTCTAGTAATTGGTGCTTACCCTTCAGTTGTTACTTTCCCGGGAGTCCTGAATACAGTACCTACCTAGCAAGTCCCAAAGCTATTTACACAGAATTTTGAATTGGAACATAGGTGAGACCTGTAGAAAAGTTTCCTAAGATTAAGGCCTTGTGAATATTGCAAATGCCTTATCTCCTTTTTTTCCTGTTACCCAGCTTCTTACAAAAATGAGAAGTGAACTGCTGAGGATTGTTTCAAGGGTACTTAGGATAACCTGTATCAAAGATCATTTTTGAGCTTATTATTTAATTCCATTCTGACCTGAACCAGGGTGATTGAATTTGTGTGTGTGTGTGTGTGTGTGTGTGTGTGATTGGAATGCTAATGTTTAGGTTAGAAAAATTACCCAGGATAAGAAGGTATGAATGGTTAGGATCACAGATCCTTTGGAGTATTGGATTACTGAGGTAATGTACTGTCAGACCCTGAAAATAAATGACCAAAGAGTCACAGAGGTTATGCAATCACTGTTAACTCTGAAAAAAAAATACCAAAGAGCTTGTAATACCCCAACTGTTAACTCTGAAAGATAAAATAAAATAAAACCAAAGAGCTTACAGTGGTTATAAGCAAAAAGCATTCTTTATTCCTTTGGAGGACGGAAACTAGATACACATGCCAAGGCCTCCTCTAGGAGGAGACCCAAGACAATGAGGCTAAACTTAGATAGGTAGTTGTGGCTACACAGTGAGCTGTAGCCATGCCAGTGAGGGGGTGACAGCAACAATGAGGCAAGTTTGATTCATAGCAGGTCTTCATGACTGGAACATGGTTCCTGCAGGTGTTTGTCCAAGCTCAGGGACCACCTGGTGCTGGTGCGAAACAATTCTGGTATTTTGCTGCAGCAGAGTTCATCCAGAAGGAGTGCAAAGGATTGTTGTTATGCCGAGTTCAGGGCACACCTTGCTTGCTGGACCTTAGCTCTGGAAAACGGTGGGTCTCCTAGTCGTAAAAAGAGAGGAGTAAAAAAAAGTTTAAAAAAAGGGAGGGGATCTTGGCATGGAGATCCTGACAGTGCTAAAACTATGACACTCCTATCTTGCCATTTCTCTCCATGACATTACCAATGGCCTTGTTTCCCACATTTGAAACCTTGGTGTTAGTCTATTGCTGTTCGTACTTATTTGTATACATTTAGTTGCTAAGTCCTTTCAAACTTTCCTACACATTTTCTCATCTCAGTTTCCTCATCTCTAGACTCATTGTTTCCACCATAGTATAGACCTTATTACCACTAGTCTTCTGACCCCAGTAACTCTTCTTTCACATCATTTCCAGATTAATCTTTTATTTGCGCAGATCTGGTCATGTTATTCCTGGATCAGAAAACCTTCAGGATCCACTTTTGTCTACCAAATGAAGACCAGATTACTTAGCCAGGTACTCTGAATCCTCTATCCTGCTTTTTCAACATTATCCATAATGCTCCCCTCGACTGAATATACTTGACCAAACTAGATCACTTTCTCAGCATACCCATCTGTCTTCTGAATGTCTGTTTTTGTGAACATACCACCAACCTTCTTGGCCCCTTGGATTCCTCTTCGACTTCTCACTGTCCTCACTCTACATAACCAATCAATTGCCAAGTCTTGAAGTTTCTACTGACACATTTCTGTCATTTCTTTCTGTTCACCTGACCACCACCCTGTACACTCATCACCTCATGCCTGTACTGTTGCATTAGCCTCCTAATTAGTCACATTGCCTCAAGCCTCTTCTGTCTCTAGTTCATTCTCCACACAAAATGCTAAGATGGTATTTCTACCATATTACTTCCCCTGCTCAGTAAACTCCAATGACTCCATTTTACCTCTCAGATTCCATATAAACTCCATTTCATATTAAAAAACCTAGTTCCAGCCCAACTTATTTTACATATCTCCCCTTCATGTACTCTATATGGTTCAGCCCAACTGGCCTTCTTGCTGCTTTACACGTGATATTTCATCTCTGTGTCTTTGTATAGGCTATCTGTCCCCCATCCCTGGAATGCACTCCCTTATCAGTTCTGAGTCTTAGAAGTCCCTAGCTTCCTTCAAGACCCAATTCAAATGTCCCCTCCTATATTAAGCCTTTCCATGAACCCCTAGCAGCAAATGCCCCCCCATATATTTAAGTATACATGTGTTCTCTCTATAAAAAGTTAGTGCCTTTATATCCCCAGCACTCAAGTGTTTAGCCTAACAATCCACATGAGAAAATCCTATTGTCGGACCATGATATGCAATTTTTAACAGTCCATTGAGCTGATCCATCAATGATATTTTATCTTGGACAGAAACTGTGGATCAACAATGATTGAACGTAACTGAATAAGAGAGACTAGCATGCATTCAAGAAATTATGTGACACTTTTAACAGTCCCTCCCGTTTTAAAAAATACCAGTAAGATTCCAGTTAAAGTATATGGCTGCAAATCATAGAACATCACAAAGTTCAAAGAATCAGATCTTTGGGCAACACAAAGGTCAATAGGTCATTGTTTGGTGGATGTAAATAGGCTGTAGCAAAGTTATCCAGAATGCCTTCCTAATGAGAAGTGGCATAAAAACTCTCCTCCAGGAAGTCAGAATCAGAAATCAGAATCAGAAAATGGTCTAGAAGAAAATCAAATGGAATCTAGTATAGAGTCCTGCACTGGTACCCACATAACATTATAAGCCCTGGAGGAAGGTCTCTAGCGTGTTGGGCAGGTTTCCTATAAAGGATTTAATAGAAGACATCTTCAAGTTCTCATTTATTATATAGAATGAGAAGGCATGGATGTTTTGCCATATAAACACACTGATGAAATCAAGACTATAGAATTATAATGGAGTACAATGAGATGTAAATATGTTTCAAAATAGATTATAGGAGATTTTGTGCTGTAAGAAACCCAGCTACATGTGGCCATAACTACTTTTGGCAGTTTACATCAATTTCCAACATATAATGTCTGGAAGGATATAGTTTCTGAAATGGTAGCTTTGAAAACCTTAACCTGCAAGGTAATATAGATGTCACATGAGGTTGAACATTAAACCAAGTTCTGCATTCAGGTTGATCTGTACACCTGTCTCTCTCCTGCATGAGAATCTCTAGTGACCCCTTATTGCCACTAGCATAAAATGCATACTCCTCGCCTTGTCGTTTAAAGCCCTTCATAGTCTGGCAGCCTTATTTTCCACCACTCACCTTCACACAAAGCCAAACTGACCTACTTGCTCTTTCCCTTGGAACCTGGCATTCTGTCTCATGCCTGACCAGTACTCCTTCTCTTTTGGAATCCTTTACTTCCTTCAAGGGTGAAGTAAAGTGACACTTCTTGTTGGAAGCCTTTCCTGATTACCCTAGTTATTTGTTTTCTTTTTCATATTTTATTGTATTTGTGTGCAACTACTATTTTTTATTCCTCTACTGCTCCCCACCACAATCACAAAAAAAAAGTTCCTTGAGTACAAGAACCATTTTGGTTTTGTCTTTCTAATCCTGGCACCTGGCTTATTGTCTTACACTAGGTACTTACTAAATGCTTGTAGAATTTAACTGAATAGGGTATTTGCTGTCTATTTTCTAAGGTTAATTGCTTCATTTTAAGCAGCTAATTATAGTAATAATTTAGATGTTTCAGCTAGAGGTTTTTTTAAAACATTCTTGACAACATATGGGCAAGTTTAGTTCACAAAATGCCTATGAATAGACAACATAGTCTAGTAATCCCTTTGACTTTCATAAACTTACTTTTGTTTTCAAAAAAACCTTGGTGATTACCATAGATCCCAATCTAAATGACTGCCACCACTTCATAATGTAAAATAAAATGCAATTGAAATATGTTAATGATCATCTGCTATTATATTCTTGAGTATAACTGATGATGAATGTAGGTGGTTTTTTTCCTTCATTCTTTACCAGGTGTAGCAGAAGACAGAAACTTACACTTGACCTTGTTGGTTTTAGTCTAATTTAGTGATTTAATCAAGTGGCATACATATATGCTTGATTTTAATTGGCCATTGGCACTTAAAGAGATTTGAAGAAGGTGTTGTTACTTAGTGGGCCAGTGCTGATTTTCTAATCCTGGACAGCCTAGAGACACTAGCTGTAGTTTCTCTTTGTGTCTAATTGTTGGTTTCAAGGAACCAGGATTTGAAAACATATCATTCTATATGCATGTCATCAGTATTTTCCAGGTAAGTGGATTTTGTCTGACCCTTTAGGGGCTTTCTCCTCTCTTAACCGATACTCATTTCACTAGTAGTGACTAAGAAGGACATGGAAGTTGCAGAGCAACATGAACCTGTTGGACACAATTGTTCTAATCCGTATTAATAATAAGGTCAAGACTGGGGGCAAGAGGGAGTGTTCTTTGAAGTTGAGAACTCCACTTTTACTTTAAAAGTTCTCTCTTTTCTTGCTCATTTTCTCCTACTTGGTAGTAGTTGCTAAGGCTAGAGGGATAGAAAACAACAGTCTTATAAAGTTTACACTCCACTGACCAGTTTACTTGTATTTAATATTTAGGCACATGAGATGAAAAGAAAGATTATGCTTTATTGCATCCACATAAAAATTGCTTTTTTCATGTGCTTTGACTCATATAAGTGTGTGTCAGCAAATGGGGATAGTATGCTTTTCTTAAAATAAATTTCTTGTTGTTCAGTACTTACACTGCAGATATAGTTGGCAATTTACTAGCTATGTTGTGAGTCATCACACAGTAGTGGGTAGGAACCTGGCTTTCATGCCAGGCAAGCCCTGCCCCTGGAATATACTGGCTGTGTGACTCTCAGCAAATCCCTTAACCTCTCAGTGCTCTGGAAGCTCTCTAAGACTATAAATCATAGAAAAGGTACCAATTTGGAAGAAGAAATTTCCTCACTTAGGAATTTCCTGGTCCAGTGAAATCACAGGTCAGGTACCAAACCCTTTTCTTGATGAGAGAATTAACAGTAATATATGGAAATTATTCTGTGTTTTTGGAAAAATATTTCCTTTCACTTTAATTTGATAGCCCATTTATTTTGTAGTGACTCAACGTAAGAGTTAAGTGTCTGCCTGAAATGAAGAGCAGTTTGCAGTTTAATTAGTTCACAAGGCTAAGCATTTGATTCACAAAGACCAGCTGTCTGATCCCTTCAGTCAGTAACAGGCCACATTCCAAGAAAGGCAATCTGGTGCACTGCAGTTGAAATGCCTTCTTTGGCTAGATTGACCAGTGCACTAACACAAAATTATTTAAAATATTTTTTACCTGAACATAATTTCAGACTTTTTATTCCTTGAATGCATTTATTAAAAAGTTGAATGCAGCATAACTAAAAACTGAGACTCTTTCCCAAGAAAATGGTGTATATCTACTTAACTTATATGCAAATACAGGGATATGTGTACATGTAAATTTATATACACATAAAACCCCAACTAATTCAGATTAATTATAATAAGGATACTCTGACTTAGTGAGAGACTAAATTAAAACATTTTCAAATAAATTACATAGTAGATAAATGAAGTGTTATTCTTTTGAATAAAATTAGATGTTAGTGAAAGATTATGAATTGTTAGTAGACATTTTTGAACTTTTATTACACAGAGAAAATAAAACTGTCTTATTTGTATAGTACTTTTAACTTAGAGAATTTTAGAACTAGGAAGGACCTTAGAAATCTAGTCCAAATCCTTCATCTCAGAAATGAGGAAGCGGAAGCTAGAAACTTACACAAGGTCATATGGCAAGTTAGTGGTGGAAATAGGACTTTGTTCTGTGATTTCACATACTTTTTTATTTCATTGGATCCTTACAGTAACCCTCTGAGATAAACAAGGCAGGTAAGTTTTATTTCCATTTAATACATGGATCCTTTGAGATAATTTTATCCATATCTTGCTTAACTCCTTCCCTCCCAAGACCCACTTTACCCTTTTCTTTTCCTCTTTTTTGTACCTTTCTCTCT